TCTGAGTATCAGGAGCCCAGGTACATCCTTCTGTGCCCCCTCCCCACACTTACGTCTTCCTCGAGGCTTTTCCGTGTGTTTCCACCCCTGAAGGCTCCTTCTCCCTGGAGATAGAAACAGGGTAGTCAGAGAAGGGAGTCAAGGAAAGTAATCAAAAGTCACCAGGTCTTTCACCTGCTGGGGTTGGCAGGGGTCTGGGATAAGGGGACGGCAGAAGGGCCCAGGTGGAGTCGGGGAGACTTGGTTGTTTATTTCACTTTTCTCTTTGTCCACTAAAGGCTTCTCAGAGTTAATCAAACCCTCTTCTTTGTGCCTCACGACAACTGTGGGAAATATTATTATTCTCATTTTGCAGATAAGAAAACTGAGGCATGGACAGGCTCATAACCTGCCGATAGTCACACAGTCAGAAGCTCGAAGGAGTTAGGATTTAAACCCGAGTCTTCCATTCCAAGCCACTCAATGTGGCCATTGCCGAGAGGCGCCTGGCAGCTGCTAACTCAGTTCCCCACTGCAGGACCCACTGACATTTTTCTCTTCCACCTCCATGCAGCCTTGAGGAGATCATCTGTCTCTCTGCTAAGTCAGGAAGATCTATTCAGAAAGATCTGCCTGGCTTTCCCAATTTCTACATATTTAATAAAGAAACCCACATTTAACCACTGGCTTCTCTCCGCTCCCACCCCTGCCTCTCCCGCTCTGCCTGCCCAGTTCCCCAGCAACCCATTTCCAAATACATAACTGATGGTCAGCTGCCCAGCTCCCAATGTCACCCATGTCTCCACCATTTCCCCCAAGTTCCCCAAATCTACTCCAGAAGGATGTCCCCAAACATCTGTCTACTTTCCCCAATCCATCTTCCACTTTCCGGCCTCTCAGGCTGCTCCCCACCCCCCACCCTGGGGCCTACTGTCACTCACCGAGTCCACTACATTCTTTGGTGCACTCTCAGTGTTGATAGGCTGTGGACGAAAGGAAAAAGCAACGTGAGGCCTCAGGACAAACATCCCCGAACTGGCTCTCTCTCCAAGGCTGGTGGCCATGGGGGACAGAATGCCTCCTGAGGCAGGACATGACGCCAACCCAAGACTCAGATGTAACCTGGCTGTCTCCAAGTTAGGAGGCATCATTTGGAAAATAAAAAACTTCCTATTGGTACTATAAACATCCAGCTGGACAAACGTCACCCAGGCCTCTGACTCAGGCAGTCGCTGACCCTTCAAAAAGGAGCAAGGAGCAAGTAATCGTCACTGTGCCAGCATGCCAGACATCTTCATCAAAACCATCTCATTCACAACAAGCACCCCGTGACATGGGTATCATTATTACTTTTTTTTTTAAACCTCACCTGAGGATATTCTTTCCATTGCTTTCCAGGGAGAGTGGCAGGGAGGGAGGGGGAGAGAGAGAGAGAAACATCAATGTGAGAGAGACACATGGACCGGTTGCTTCCCTCATGGGCCCCAACCAGGGGTGAGGAGCGAACCCACAAGCCAGATACGTGCCCTTGACTGGGAATCGAACCTGAGACCCTTTAGTGCGTGAGTCAATGCTCCAACCACTGAACCACGCCAGCCAGGGCCCATTATTACTTTTGAATCCCACTTTAGAGATATGCAGAAGTTAAATGAGTGGCCCAAAGTCATCAGCTACTATGGGGACAACAGGATTTGAACCCCACCCTAGGCTCTGAGCCTCTTGCTCTTTATGTGAATTTGCAGCAGCCTGGGAGAAGAGGTCTGTGGGTCGTAAGTTCCTTCCAAGGCTTCCTCCCACCAGCCCTGCCCCTGCACAGACCTCAGTTTTCGTGCTCCAAAGCTCTGCTCCATCCAGACCTGCCCCCTAGATCCCTTTACTTATTCTCACATCCAGGCCTTTCTTTGTGGAACAGCTGCCCCTCTTTTCCTGTAAAGTCTCCTCTTCCATGAAGCCCTCCCTGAGCACCCCATCAAGGAGGACTCTGTCTCCCTCCTCTCAACTCCAGTAAGTCTATGTCTGTGCCATTTATCTGGTCATTAGTATATGAATAATCTCATCGTGGCAATATATCTTATTTTATTTGTGATTCTATCCCACTTGCCTCCAAAACAGATTCAAAGCAGCATTTTTACCAACTCAGTTGCCATACCCTTCATGCCAGGGACTGTGATTTATGAGTATCGGGCCATCGGTACACACCTGTAGACTGATCCTGCCCCTCACCCCAGTGCCACCCTTTCCCTGCCCAGACCAACAGAAGTGCTTCCTGCTAAAGGCATCCTGCAAAGTGGGCTCCTAGGACTCCCCCAAAACAAGAGAGAAACTTCCCACTCCAAGCCCACCCCTGATCACAGTTTCTATGGCTCCGTTTCCAACTCAGCAGCATGGTTAGCAGGGCCCTAGAACCATGCAGAAGGACGTGAGCACGACTGCCAAGGTCATCGAACAAGCCTCTACCAAGATGAGCGTGGGCCAGGTTAAGACAGGGTGTCTCAGAATAGGAAACGCCTGCCCCAACCCCAGCCCAGGACCTGAGGGGCAGCTGCTGTGTCTGTAGACAGAGGAATGGACAGAATGACCACTGAGAGGTTCCAGCACCAGCGCGAACTGGGCCAAGATGGACGTGGAGGAAGAAAGCCAACTAAGCTGAAGGCAGCCGTGCTCTTTCTGGAAATGGCCCAGACTTTACCCCTCCTGCCTAGAAAGAAGAGGGATGGCTGAGGCCAAAACTTCCTTCCAGGGGATGAAAACTCCTGAGGGTAGTTTAGGGCCAAGGCAGCTTAGGATAGATGAGGGAGGACAGGGTCCAGGAATGGAGCAGCAGGAGGGGAGGCACATCCAGCAGCCCCTCTAGACCCCAGGTTGGCTCACCTGGAGTCTGAGGATGGCTCTGGAGGAATAAAGATGACACATCCCACCACTTCCCAGCCCAGCCCTAATCCTCACCCAGCCACCTCCCAGAGACCCGACTGCTGAGCCACAGGCCACTGGGCAGGGGGCAAATGAGCCCACTGGGAAATCCTGGCCCTCTGACCCCCACCTGTCAGTCCAGGGCTCTGGGAGAGGGAGGAATACTCCTGGAGGGCAGATCACAGGGACCTTCCATATGCAGTCTACAGAGCAGAACTGAGATCTGAACGCAGCTCTCCCAACTCCAAAGCCCTCACTCTTCAGTCTGCTGAACCAGCCTCCCAGACAGGGTGGCTCAGAAAGGACAGCAAGGGGGTGAGATGGAGAAGCTGGGGATGAAGTGCCCGCCCCAGGCTATTACAGGCCCTGAAGAGCCCCAGTCCTGCTCTGGGTGAAACCTTCGAGAAGGCCAGGACCCTTCTGATGAGCAGTGTGAGCCAGGGGGCCTTGAGCTTGAGTGTGCCTCAAAACACTTGCAGGGCTGCCGAACAAGTGTGAGGTGGCTGGGTGAGGATTAGGGCTGGGCTGGGAAGTGCCTTGAGTGTGCCTCAAAACACTTGCAGGGCTGCCGAAACACAGGTGCTGGGCCCTCCCCAGAGGGTCCCAGTAGGCCTCTGGTAGGACCTGCGAATGAGCATTTCTAACAGGTTTCCAGGTCTGGGGATGACACTTTGAGAAGCACTAGTCTAAACAGACTGCCAGGGGCATGTCCTGACTCTCTGCTGCTAACTGTGTGACCTCAAGAGGGTCACTTCATCCTTGCTGCTCAACAGGGCCGACTGGCTCTACGTTGAAAGAATCAAATGTGAAGAAGCACAGAAAGCACCAGGACAGGGCCGGCACTTGGGAAGTGCTTAGGAAATGCTAGCAGCTATTTACCCTCTCCACCCCACACTCCCCAGGCCCTCCCCTCATCCACCCTGCCCCACCTTGACCCTCCTGCCCCACCCCTCCCATGTCTGGCACGAAGCAGTAATTGAGTCAGTATTAGAAACCACAGGCCTCAGCAGTGCAAGAGAAACTTCTCTCCCTGCCAACAATCATCTGAGCACCGTCCCCTTGGCCCCCACCCCTTCCCCGTGCCAGCTGGAGGCCGGCCACAGAAAGATGCTTGCCAGCCATCAAATGCCTTCAACTTACTGGTTGAGATGCTTTCTGAAGAGCTAAAAATTTCCAAAAACCCCTCCTGACCTAAACACCCAGTGTTTTCCTGCAGTGTTTGCAAACATGGCCCAGCAGGCACGCTGTGCTCCCCACCCAGCCCCTCCACCCCAGTCCTCCCGGGACTGAAGTCCTGCTTCCCTGTTTCCCAGGAACTGCCAGCTCTGGGTGGACTGGGAATGAAAACAGCGAGGGACTGATAACATGAAGGTGGGCCTCCCCTGAGGCCAAGCCTACCCCAGGCCCTGCAGGGAGGCTTGGGTATGCTATAGGGACGCTCCCAGGCCGCCCCAGCTGTGGACTCCTGAGGCGGCAGCCCCAGAGTTCCAATGCCTGGCAGAGCTCCTTCAGCACACAGACACCCCCACCCACTCCCGTACACTTGCACACACACAGGTACACCCACACCTCCATCCTTGCACACCACTCCTCAGAACAGCTCGGAGTGGGACTTTGGACACCATCTCCTTCTTCCCTGATTCACAAATAGAGAAACTGAGGTGCAGAGAGGTCTGACTGGCCCAGCCTCTCAGGGTGAAATACATGGCAAGAATGGACTTGGCTCCAGTCTTGTAAAGCCCACTGCTGAGCTCAGCTCGCAGCACCTCAGCCCCATCCCCAGCCAGCCTACAGGCAGGTAGCTGAGCACCTCTCCGTGAGCTCTTCTCCTTCCTCCTGAGGCTCAGGTGCAGAAGGATAGAGCAGATGGAGCCCAGATAGGGACTTTCCCCATCTGTCCCCACCCACTGCCCAGTCCCAGGACAAAACCTGGATCTCAAGGACCCAGGCTTTCCAAAGCTGAGGGCAGCTGACCACAGCTTCACCAGGAGTCTTAGAATGCCCCTGGCCTCCAGGCAGAGCAACTCGAACTCAGCTCAGGAGCAGGTGGCAGGGTGTGGACCTGGTGCCCCTTGACAACCAAGTCTTGCTCTTCAAGGATCTCAAACCCGGGAGTCTGGAGCAAGGCAGAGACTAGGGTGAGGCGCTAAGGGCAAAACATTTAAGGAGGCCTTCATTCTCAGGCTGCTCCAAGTGCACCTGCCTGACCCTGAGAGCAATGCCTCCTCAAATTATGCACCCCAGGGGCCTCACTGGCCTACCTCTTCCTAGACCTGGTCTGGAGATACCTTTCATAATGTTAACACAATAACAATGACTCATTAAGTGTTAATGCAGCCCTGGGCATAGCATTAGGTTCTTTGCTTCCATGGTCATCAATCTTCATAAACATCCTCATACCAATGTGCACAAGGTAAGCATTAACCCATTTTACAGAGGAGGAGACTGAGGGTCCGCCAGATTAAATAACTTGCCCAAGGTTACACAGCTACTAGGTAGGTAAGAGGGCTGGTATTTGAACCCTGCTCCTTACATCCATCCCTTCATGCAGTCTCCTCTCCCTGGAGATGCTCTCCATTCAGTTCCTCTAACCCTTAAGTCAACTGCCCTCATGCTGGGAACAAGCTTTCTGTGACTTAAAGACTACTTGTCTCAGACCCTCCAGAGGAAGGGACTCTTCAATCCACTTCCATAGGAAGAGGAGGAAATGGGCTGCAGTAGGAGAGACTGAGATCAGACATCAGAGAGAACTTCCTGAATACGAGGGGTTGTGACCACAGGGTGGATAAGGGAAACTGCACATCCTTTCCTCAAATTCTTTCCCAAAAAAGACATGCATGCTCTCTCCATGCCTGCATTTGCCCACCGCCAACTGTGTGGGCCCCAGGAGGGGTGTTCTGCAGAGGCTGGGGGTGGCTGAGATGACAGCCTGGAGGTTCCTGAAGTAGGACATGTTGGCGGCCTTCGGGGAGGGCGGGCT